AGCAAATAAGTTAAAAGTCCCAAGGGATCTGAATACCAGGACACATATTATGAATATTTGGTTTCAAGATAAACAGAAAAGATAAAGTATTTTAAAATTAAATTTCATAAAATAAACGTAATTAGAATACACGGTCATTATTTGAAAGGGATGTGCCTCCTGCTGGCACGACCACAAATGACAATGTTTGAGAAAACAAGAAACTAATAAACAGTTTAAACAAAATAACATTACTTTAATTTTTAAAGATTAATTATTAATAATTATTAATTTTTTTAAAACATAAGTAATATTTTTTAATTTGTGTTTGCTTTTTTTTAGAAATATTTGATGCCTGGTCGCTACTATTTTGTCATAGTCGGTCATGATGACTCGCCTCTCTTTGAAACGGATTATGTTGCCCCTGCTAAGTCTCAAGAATATAAAGTATTATGTATTATGTTATTTATACTATAGCTGGAGGAGCATAGGCACATGAACCAGTTTGTTGCTCATGCTGCTCTTGATATTGTAGATGAACTCATGTGGAACTCAGTTAATACATACTTGAAAGTTGTTGACAAATTTAACGATTGGCTTGTTACTGCGTTTGTTACGCCTGGTCGTATCCTTTTTATCCCATTTTATGCTGTTAAACGATATTTGCCCTTATACTTTCCTTAATGTTTTTAGGCCTTCGCTTCCTTATGCTGCACGATGAAAGAAATGAGGATAAAATCCGGTACTTTTTTCAGGAAGTGTATGACTCCTATGTTAGAGTAAGAATACTTTCTAGCTGTCAATTTAGCTCTCATTGAGTCCTTTTTTTGAGCATGGAAAGCCTTTCAATTCTCCTGCCCTCGCAAAAAAAGTTCAAACGCTCGCTCGGAAATATTTGGGCTAAACGGCGCAAGACTTGACAAATTTATAATCGTGAAGATGCACACAATTGTATAGCATACTATATTGCCATCTAAATGGCATGTCCTAAAAATGCAAAAAATATCTTAAACCGTCATTTTGTTTTGAAAACTAAATTTTATTATACGTTCAAGCTTTATTTAGTCTCATAATTATG